GCAAAAATCATTTAAGAATTCCCCTTGACAACGTAAAGCCCACGACATATTTTGGAATCCTTGTACATTAAGGAGGGTACAATAGTTCTTAGTTAACTATACTTACCAAAGTTTTTATAAAAGTCCTGCGACAATTTACCTCGAAAACCCTCACAAAGGTGTTAGTACATTTTTGATCACACAAGTGAAAGAGTCACTTAAATGTAGAGCTCATGAACCAGCTCTATTCAACCATGGAGTAGTTATACAATATTTACATATACATATTTATTCAACCATATGGTAGAGATAGATAAAAAATGTGTTTACTTTCCCTTCCAATTTATTTTGAATTATTATTAAAATTAGATACACATGTTTTGGGATTTGTAAATTAAATGTATATTGTTTAAAAAAGGGGTTTAATTACAACTTAATTTAAATTTAAAGGAGAACACATTTTAGAATACGCATACCTTGATTTAAAGCATAAGGTTGACTGCAATTTGAAAAGTGCTAAACGTTGTAGGGTACGTTGTCGCCAACGATAAATCGTTGGTTGTCGCCATTAGCACCACCTCATTCTTATAGAAATTACATTATTTGCTCCTTCATTGATATATAACCAGGAAATTCAAGATTTCTATGATAAATTGTATACCTTTGCCAAATATCTAAAACGTAAAATTTCTAAATACTGATTATGAACATGGTTTGGGTAATATTAACAGTAGAGTAAATTGTTATACTTGGCGTTTATCTATGTATACGTTTAATTTTATTACGGACCTGATATAATAATAAAATGTTACTAGAGTACCCATTCTGCTCCGCAGCGTTAAAATAAATATAATATCCGAGAAATAATAAAATTTAAGATTTTTGATTGAGTAATACAGTATCGTGATACTGATTCACATGATCAATAAAAATCAAAGCTTACAATTTACTGATTATTTTGAGTCTAAAACATATAAAAAAACATGAATAATACTGGTGATATTGATGTTTAGTCATAGAAAAACCTTACAGTAATAATTTTTAAATTGGCTGTTCTTCTTGCGTTCGCTTGAAACCCGTCCAATTTGAGTAACCTATAGCTTAAATGAAATCAGGTATTCCACTGAAGAAATTATGTTTTAGCCAAATAATACAGTTGGTTAATATATGTCGATGTTTGATGTGAAATCTGTACGTGCCTTGACTTCAATTTAAGACCTAAATTATGAAAATCGGTCGGGTAGAAGAGCCAAACGAAATCGGAAAAGTGAAACTAAATTTAACTTCCATAAGAAATACATGGGGAGTGATTTCGTTTACGTATAAGCCGAGGGGGTTATAGATAAATATATGCCGATAGATTCTTGATGGCAAATCTGGGCGTGCATACCTTCAATTTGAGACATCAATCATGACAATCGGTCGGGTAGAAGAGCCAATCGATCTCGGCAAATAAAAGGCAAATTTAACTCCCATAAGAAATACATGGATAACAAATTTCGTTTACGTATACGCCGAGGGTGTTATAGATAAATATATACCGATATATGCTTGATGGCAAATCTGGGCGTGCATACCTTCGATTTGAGACCTCAATCAGGAAAATAGGTCGGGTAGAAGAGCTAAACGAACTCGGCAAAGAAACACAAAATTTAACTCCCATAAGAAATACATGGGGAGCAAATTTCGTTTACGTATAAACCGAGTGAGACTATAGATAATTCTATGCCGATGCTTGATGGCAAATCTGTGCGTGCCACCTCAAGCTTAGACCTCAACCATGATAATCGGTCGAGTAGAAGAGCCAAATGAACTCGGAAAAGAAAAACCAAATTTGTTTAATATATAAGATTATAATTCAGTTAGTAATTACGTTTGATGTGATGGGTGTATTATTGAATAGATCAGCAACCTAACACATACTATCTCCCATTAGCTTGTCAACAACCCTTAACACCGGTAAGCAAGCGATTGTGGGAGTAACTTTGATACTTGATAGTGGAAATCACGAAGGTTGCACAGCAATTGGTGTAGCACTTTCGTGTTAGGAGTTAAAAGCACTAAAACATACTAATTTTTTATCAAACGTATTTGTAAAAATCTGATCTTTCCGTGATTATATGAGTTCATAAAAATCACAAATGTTGAAAAAACCTTCAATCGTAATTTTTACAGTAATTGGTGTTGTACTGTTTTCTTTAGAGGTAAAAGGGCTGTAACTTTAATCAAAATCATTAGTGCCGTTTATTTTTAGGAATTGGGATTAGATAAAATGGGAAATTTTTAGTTTTAAGAGTCAAAACATTTTAAAGCCAAATTTTTACCCCATAAACCCCCCTATAAAACCCTGTTTCCGTAGTCTGGTCACGCCGGTTCGCGAACTCATTAGAATAAACGTGGGTTTACACGTTTGTACTAAATTTTATCGAAATCGGATTATTTTATAGAGTGCAGTTGTGGAGTGTAAAAATAGCTGTAAAATCAATGTTTCTTTGTGATCTCTGTGAGAAGTCTAGATTAGTCTCCCCACCAAATTACAACTCCATCCGAAAGAATATTTTCACAGCCATTTTTAAACACCATATATAGCCTATTTCTGTACTTTCTACATCAGGGTCATAAACTCCAGTCATCTGGCGATGAATTTCGGCATCGGATTTGATCTTGTAATCAAATAATGTATCGCTGACTGACCTACACTGGGACGCAGAGATTCGATGGTTACATTTTTGTAACACACAGCGAAGCGTATATAACAGCTACAGAGCTGGAATTTTCGGCAATTTTCGGTCGTAAGTAGTGAGGAGCCTCTTTGCGGCGTACAAGTGAACTACGCAAAACCCTTATTTAACTACCGCTACCACAGAAAACCTGCAGAGTAAGCGAATTTAAATTTCTCTGGTTGGATTTTTACTCAACTATTTCTATAAACAATATATATTATTTATTCCCCGTTAAAATGACATTAGATTTGATGAATACTTAGGTTTGATGCTAGGGGGAGGTTTAAAAGTGTTATTTTGACCAAATAGTAATGGTACAAGACGAAATCACTAAAATTTGCCCAATTTGATGAACATAATATATATCTAGGAACAATCAAAGTGCAATAGTTTTCTTTTCCTCTATAAGAATACCATTGAAATTTTAAATGTACTGATTTTTTTTATTTTGTCCGTAGGCTAATCTTTTATTATACATCAACGCTTCCATATACAAAATTATTAGTTTTTTTTAAGCTCTAATAGGTGGCTTTGATGACAATTGTGCATTTCCATGTTTTGAGGGTAATCATTTGAAAAATAATACAATTAAAACCCTTAAGTAATCGTTCCCTTACACCGAACTTGGTGGTTCTCAAACTCATTCAAGCTAACGAGCTACAAGCTAACCTTCAAACCGAGTTTTTGATAAATGTTAGGCAAATAAATTTATTTCATTCTATAGCGTTTTTCCTTCCCCATAGCAGAAAACTTAAGTACTTGTTATACCTAACTGTTATATGGAACATAAATACGATTTGTTTATGGAAATGTAGTTAAATACAAGAAAACAAATATAAATTTTCCACGGCTGAAGTATTCAAATTGTAAACAATTAGTGCATTCCAAATATTAACTTTTAAAATAAAAAATACCAAATTTTACTTACAGCGGCCTTGTAAAGTTCAAAAATAAATCATTAGGACATTTGGTCGTTTGTGTACGCTTTCTATTTGCCTGATTGCATTTTTAATAAAATACATACTAACATTAATATATCGAGTACTTAGGTTTGCTGCTTTAGTAAAAGTAATAACATGCCGTTTTGTTGTTGTTAAATGTTAGTATGAAATAAATAAATTTCCCAAATGTTATCGAATTATCTTCTCAAACTAGCAAACTGCAACAGTTTACATCTACAACTTGTTACATCTGAACCAGGTAGCTCTTTATTTGACAGCTGTATACCGCAACAATAGTCAATGTGAGAGCAGACAGGAGGCAGTTGTAATGTATAGTTAGATGTTCACTCTAATGTGTGAAGGTGGACTAACATCGGTTCACATGGTACAATTGGTTCCCAATACGTAAACTTACGTTGCATAATATATTTAGCTGTAAATGTATCTTTGGTATGTTTCTTCATAATCCTACGTCATGATAGGTGATTTTGGTTTACTAAGCTGTAATCGTTTTGAAATGACCATCCTAGAGTGAGATGAAAGGGGTTTTACGATTTTTGTTATTAAATAGGCCGTTTACTTAAATTTTCACGTATAGTCAAGAAAGTAACGATTAACGAAAACCTCAAAAGCGCTCCTGGCATAGTTCTCACTAGGAAATAGATAAAGTAAACCATTTTAAGTTTTGATATTCTGGCAGATCTATTGAACACGCTACAATTAAAAGATAAGGTCTGTTGGAAAAGTGATTTTTTAATTTGTCTAATAATATGGTTGCACCCAAATAAAATTACTATATATTTAGTACTATAAAATTAACAACTATCTAATAGCATATCTCAGGAAAGCTATAGTATAATTCGTTTTCTACAACTGGAAATTTAAACTTTCTAAACAAAACGTTTTGATAAAACTCTTGATCTCATTAACATCTCTGTACTTCCTTAATCTACAAAAAATACTGCATTTTCAATGAGTCAGAGTTGTTGTCACGAATATTTTGGTGTTCTCACTGTTTTGTGTTCAGCCACTAGGAATATGACAAAGCCTTGAGATTTAATTTGGGCTACTTAATTTTTTTAAAGAGAAAACACTTTATCTTTGAATAGTGTTAAAAATCCATGATTACCATTTGGTCCTTTTTTAAATATTTCAACAGTAGTATTTCCCTATTCCATTATTATTGAAGCTTGCTTATTATTATTAATCATTTTAGTAAGTATTTCAGTTACAGGCATTTTTTTATTATTACCTCCTTCCCATAGGAAGTGAAAACTCTTTCACCAGAAACTACTAAATAATAATCTAACAACATTACAGTAAAAGGTTTCAGGAATTTGTAACATAAAACAACATGTTTCGGGTTTTACGTATAAAAATAACGTATATTTGACTTCAGTACAAAAAGTTTTTGGTGTCGTGAAGACATTTTTTACAGAATTAATTATTTACATGGAGGTTTATATCACAGCTGAGAAATACCCAGCGGGTCTCGGAGCTCTGGCCTATCTGCAGCTGAGGGCATTTAGTAGTGTCCGTGCTCGTACAGGTGGGGTTTGTAGGAGCCGTCGTCATAGTGGCTAGCGTCGTCGTAGTGAGCGCTGTAGGCACCCTCACCCTTGTAGCTACCGTCATCGTAATGGCCAGCGTAGTGTCCGGCGTAGTGACCAGCGTAGGGTGCGACGTAGGGAGCGGCGTAGTGTCCAGCGTGTCCTCCAGCCTTGGCTACCAGGGACAGATGAGCGGCCTTGGCGGCGGCGACCTCGGGGGTATCGGCGAGGAAGCCACTGGGGGTGACGACGGGAGCGGCGTAGGGTCCGTGGTAGCCACCAGCGTATCCGGCGTAACCGGCACCGGCGTAACCGTGAGCGGGGGCGGCAGCAGCGTGGGTGGAGGCCTTGGCGACCTCGGAGAAGTGCGCGGCCTTAGCGGCGGCAACCTCAGGGGTGTCGGCGAGGAACCCACTAGGGGTGACAACTGGAGCAGCCAGAGGACCGTGGTAGCCGCCGGCGTGGGCGTAGCCACCGTGAGGGTAGGCTCCATGGCCGTAGTAGGCAGGGGCCCATCCGCACAGGGCGGACTGGGCGATGCAGGCGACGGCGACGAAAACAGCCTGAAAAAAAACAAACATTGTAAAGTTTACAGTCTTTCTACATAAGTGACACGTGAATATTCAGTAATAACAATAGGGGTACACAATTTGTCGACAGTAAGAAACTGAATATTCCATAAAGGGAAGCAAATTCAAAACAAAAAGATGCATCGATGTTGAGCCTGCTAACGTGCGGCGTCTTACGTCCTTATGTGAACAAGCTGTTAGTAACGGGAGACCACGTTTATATGAGCCTATTTTTATTTATAATAAACTACTGTAACCAAATTAAATTCCACTACCACCCAGTATTGTTTTGATTTCCAATACTGATATTCTCATTAACATAAAAAAATATTAATGTTTCGTACACTAATACACGATATTTTGTAAAAAGATTTTTTAAGTAATGAATCATCATAAATTCTCATTTATTAAAATGGTTTTCTTGTCTGTTTATATAGTTATCTTAGTGAGAAAAGAATTATTACAATGACTACAGTTTGCTCTGATAAAGAATGTGTTGTTGGATCAGCTATCATCAGCTGAGCGAGAGCCAGTACCCAGGTCAAGACCACATGGTCTAGACCCTAGACTGGTCTGCTCGACCTTGTCTGGGTCTGGTCTGGTATGTATTGCACTGTCTAGTGCCTAGTGTCTACACGCGATGCTATGGTTCATACATAACGATTGTACAGTTAACGGCTATAGTGAAATATGTATAATAGCACAATAGTGAGCCACTCTTCGCTTTGCAATTCCGTTGTACCAAAGGATATATACATAATGTAAAACGAATTTGCCTAGAAAAGCCAAATTGTGTTAGCCTAAAAATTAGTTTGTGTTGAACCGTCACTTAATGTTGCAATGTTGCATGACTGAATTATTGATATTCAAGACCCTTTAAATCAATTAAAACCTATAAAAATTACGATTTAAAAAATAATATTTTAAAAGTGCATAATGTTAAAGTTTTACGTAGTTTTCGTCCTTGACAAGTATAGACTTTGAATACAAAATCATCCTAGAATACTACAGTTTTAATCCAGTAAAATTTGTAAATACAAACGTATTTTTTTCATGAATTAAAATAATGAAAATCTAAATATTAACCGACATTTGCTCAATTTTTATGTTTCCATTGCAGTAGGTATTTTCCTCATTTAATCATAAATTAATAGTTGTGTAAGTACGAAAAACAACGTAAATAATCGGATAAACTTTAGAGACAGCGTAGGCCTGCTTCCCAGATCATGAGAAACCTCGTAATAAATGGATTGGATTGGGTAATTTATCGATGTAAAGTGAAATATAAAAAAATGTATTTCAAGAAGACTGAAAACAGTGTTTACATTTTATTGAATTGAAAAGATTATTCTTATTAACACAATAATTCTGCAATAAATAAAATATTTTCAACATTTGTAATCAACGGAAAAGAAGTTTAACGCATGCACAATATAAACGGAAGCTAATACTTTCGAAGTCGACAAGGAACAGAGTGCCCATGGTTAGTGTGGAAAAGCTTCACATTGCATTATTGACCACGGATACTGAACGTTTAAAAATATACTAAAACGTTTAAAATTCTACTCTTATATAATAGCTCACGGCAATATATAAAATTAAAAATTATGAATCCTTTAAACGAATTATTGGGACATAAACTTTAACAAAATTTTAAGGATTTTATATGATTTTAAAAACCATAATTTTGCAAAGCACGATGCCCTGACTAGTATATCGTGTAAGGTGTAAGGTGTAAGGTGATCTGACTTACCAAGACCTTCATGTTGAGAGACTGAAGTCAGCAGTGAGTGAGACCTGTGGGGTACGCGGCTCCCCAGCCTTATATACAGGGACACAAGGTCGCCAACACCCCCAGGCACTGCACACTGCTAGTTTTTCCATGGGCGTACATTAAATGCATGTCTATGTTATAAGGTGATCCAGGTTTGATAGTAGTTCAATAGTAATGGCCAGTATTTGTTGTACCCTCGTCTCCAGGAGCCTCCCACTCATCTACTGTGTACTCGTCCTCAGAGATGCTACTTGTGTGTAAATCAGGCTAACCGGTTCTCATTCATGCTGTTGTATGAATGGAGGTAACTGTGCCGAGATGGAGATAGGTGTTGGTTTTTAGACCATTTGACTCAATGCGACATCATTCTTTCGAAAGCTTTTTTTATGTTTCTATTGGGATGGCCGTTATCAATTATATCTGAAAAATGCTAATATAATCATCTGCGTCTTATATTTTTACTAGCTGCTCTACACTTGCTTCGCAACAGGAAGAAGATGTCCTGTACACCTAACCCAAACACGTGTTATGTAGTTCAAATTTATAAACAACAAAAATGCAACAAATTGTATACAAAAAAAAATATAACCTATATTGTAATAATTGTCCTACTGTTTACATGAAAATTTACCAATAACATTATTTTCATAAATTAGACACTTTAATAAATCGAAAGCAGAGCCTGGGTTGATACAACGGTTATAGAATATTATTTTATTTGCTTGTTCAAACTTATGATCTTCGTCCCTTATATATGAGTCTTTTCTTTTCCAAAAATTATGATTCATAACTAAAATAAAGGCAAAATAAATTTATATTGAGCACTTTATATAGCGGTGTTGTGTCTAGTAGGGGATGGAAGAATCCTTCTAAAGGTATATTTAGAAAAGTAACGAGGTGTTTAAAACCCTATAGGTTAGTTACCTTCATGTAAAACCACCAACCAATACATTATTTATGCTTTGTAAAACAAAGTAATCTTTATACTGTATTGTTTTGCAAACTGAGTGCTTACAATCCTCGCATGTCCAAAATATATTTTATAAATATTGGTTAAACTTCTTATAATAAACGTTTATTTTATCCAATCACCCAAAATCACTTAACAAATTAAGCTTTTCTTTGTTTTAATACATTATTGATTACTTATCATTTCCTTGGAATGGGTACGTGTGTAGGATGTCATTAATCTTTCGTTTTTCAATATACTGTAGACATTTTTAATGTATTAAATTTTGTCATTAAAACTATAAATAAGAATAACTTTAATATAAGTATAGATTTACCCATTTAGCCAATGAGAGCCAGATATTTTTAGTAACAGCAGTATCACACATGATATAAATCAGTCGGAAATCAGATGAGTGTGTAAATAGATTTATTTTGATGACTAATTTATCTCCCCACCAAGATATAAACGCCCACTCACGTCGCATCAAACGCTGATATGTCGACTAAACTCTGTTTCCAACTAGTTCTCCCTATTTACAATTGAACATATAATACAAAAATTTATGTATGGTATCAATCAGCTTCAATGTGATACTCCAAAAACGTTCTAATATAAGGCAACAATACACAATTCTATTTGAAAAATGATTTACGAGCGTAGATTTTCCAATTTCCCCTAGATAACTAATAATACGCTTTTTGAGCCTTGGCTAGTCTTTAGAACAAATATTTTCTAAAACTTGAATCTAGTTCTGTAATCAACTGTTTGTCCATTGATTATATATTTGTATATATTCGGAATACAAATTAAACCACTAGCAGAAATGCATACTAACTGTTGTAGATCGTTTGAAATGTAAAGTATTAGATTCTCCAATCATCTAGTAGAGTAATTGCATTCCCGTTAGTTTTCTAGCAATAAAGAATTCCAAGGTCGTAATCGCAAGAAAACTGGATTACAGACTAACTCCGTCAGACAGCCAATGCTTCAGACGTATTGCCAAGTGTTGTCTGCCTACAATGTCTCGGTAGAGTTCCTCACTTATATCCACTTAATTACAATATACATCTATAAATCTCCAACTTCCTTATACAGAGGATTGGTTGACAAATTGTTTAATGCATGTCTTCTGCTGCTATAAATTAACTACGTGTAAGAAAACCTATTGCTGAATTGTCTTAACCTCTTAGATATTTATATCAGATCAATAAAATGTTTTACTAAGCTTATAAAGCTCAAATAAATTTAAAATTTTCAAACTGTTTTATCCGATTTTAATGTTTATTAATTGAAATAGTTGTAAAAGTATTTCGCATAAAAAATATCTATATCGTTGAATCAACTTTCTAAATTTGTATAAGAGAATTAATTTTCATATGCAAAGTCTAAAGAAATATGAGAAGGTATTTTAATAATGCTCTATTAGATCATAAGCCTAATTGATCATGATAAAGGTAGAATAAAGGTAGACTCTTACTGTATTAACAATTTGAACATCATCTTTAACTGCTGTTGCTTCGTGTTCACCATTCTAGACAGTTACAAACCTCTAAATTAATAATGGCTTGGTCTACCCTTTGAGGCCACTAAACTATTAGTAAAAAAAATCATTTGACTATTTATCCCCGTTTATTTTGACTGATCCACCAGTTAATTAATTTATAGTTTTATAAAAAAACAATATGGTGTCAATAGCTTGATATAAGTAAAATGTGATTACGTCTTTGGAAATTAATCATTTTCCTAAATGATGATATACACCATTTAGGCTGTTTGAAACCCATGTCTTTGTAACTACCGCCTCAACTGTGATTAACTTAGTTTTAATGTTCGAAATGTTCCTGACATTGAGCCTAATGTCCGTGTAATGGTAAGTAATCAATCTTTTAGTGCGGCTAGCTTGACAGATGTTTGTTTGTGTTGATTGGAATTTGGCACCCTACTAATTTCACCTAGAATGATGTGTTTCCTGAATAGTTTTAAGTATAAAATTATTTTAACCTTTCACATAGATTCACAGTACTTACTATATTTTGGTATTTAGGTCTTAATGTATTTTACCACCGAATCATCATAGTTAAATGACGAAATTAGATTCAATAATATTATCTATTATGTAAACTATATTTTTGGTAAACTATATCATATACTTTCATTAATTCTAAAATGACTTCATTATATATTTATTATTACTTGTTATATACTTTCAACCGCTCATGTTGATCCAACTATCAAATTAAGTTTTTATTTATAAATTTAAGATTTATC